CTTGAAAAACAAAGACTATAGAAAGAAAGAAAGAAAAAAAGAAAGGGAAAAAGAAAGAAAGCAACCAAGAAAGAAAGGAAGGAAAAGGAAAGAAAGCAGACAAGAAAAGAAAAAAAATGAAAGCAAGCCAAGAAGGAAAGAAAGAAAGAAAGCAAGAAAGAAAGTATGTTAAAAGGACAATAGTTGAATGACAAAGAAGGCAATAGAAAGATATAAAAGCAAGAAAAGCAATTAAAAAGAAGAGAAAAAGTAAAAATAAAAGATGAAAAAGAAATAGTAAGAGAAACAAAGAAATGATGAAAGAAAAAAGAAAGAAACGAGAATAAACGACGAGAAAGATAACAAAGAAAGAAAGTCACAGGTCAGTGTTATGAAAATAAATTAATGAAAAATAAAGAAAAACATCACAGAAAATCAGATTGAAAAAAAGAAAGAAAACAAAGAATAAGAAAATTAAGAATAAAAACAAAGTTAAAAAGAAAGAAAGAAAATGAGAGAAAAAAATAAAAGAATATAAAACAAAAAGAGCAAAGAAGGTAAACAGGAAAGAAAGAAAGAATGAAAGTAATGAAGAAAGAATTTATGAAATAGACAAAGAAAAATTAAAACTATGGTAAGAAAAAAAATAGAAGGGAGGCAGTCAGAAGTATAAGAGGGAAAAATAAATATTGGGAGGAGATAGAAGATGGAAGAAAAACAAAACAGAAAAAGTTAATGAATAAGAAAAGTCCACAAACAAAAAAAAGATATAAGTAAAAAAAAAAATAAATTAGAAACAGGAAAAAAATGAAACTAAAAATGAAGACTAACTGCAAATAGCAACATGAAGCAAAAATAACTGTAAAGCAACAAGGAAGAAACAAAGATATTGCAAAAGGAAAAAATGAAGCACAAAAGAAAAACAGAATAAATGAAAGAAAATAAAGTGAAGGAATTAAATTAGAAATCAAGTAAAAAAAAAATAAAATAAAAAAGCTAAACATAAAGTGGCCAAATGAAAGTTTAGAGTAAAAAAAAAACATGGCTGACATTTCCTTTTTTATCCATTTTTTTCCACCTCCTTTCTGTAAAGAGTTACATCGCTCGATCTACCATAAATACACATCAACAATTCCTGGGTCTTTTGATCTGTTTTCTGTCGACAGATATTATCTAAAGAGACAAGAAGAGCACACTAGAGGAAAACTTTTGAGCGCATTTTACCCTGGCAGCAAAATATCAATCTTTCTTCATCAAAAAGATTGAAAAAAATATGGAAGAAACTTATATTAAAGAAGATAGATGTCTACCATTCCCTTCTGATCTATTGGACTTATCTTCTTCAGTGAATATGGAAAAAAATAGAAAAATCATTTGATGAAGATGGTTTTTACTTTTACCTTGTACTTTGCGGTCGATCTCTCGTGAACATTGTCATCTTGTGTTGAAAAGCTGGATAGAAGTGGAAGACATGCGATGCACTTGACCATAGCTTTTAAAAAGCCATTAAGTTTCTTGCATATACTCCGATATAGATATGTGCTGATAGAAGGAGGTAAATTCACTTCACTGTTTTATTATCTATACACCTGGTGTACTTGAAAACACATATACACAAACTTATGTATAGAGGTACACATGCAAGGGGGTGCTGCAAAACCATATTTTGATTTTTGATACCAATAGCTTAATTATATTAGCAATGCTTGCTTTAATTCCTGACCACTGACAATTCCTTTTCTTTCTGATTTTAATGCTTTCATATAGTAAAATCATTACCAGTGCATTTATATTATATATACAATAGACCTATTTTGTCAGTAATGTTTGTACCAATTCTTGACCACTGACAATCACTTTTCTTTCTGATTTTAATGCTTTCATATAGTAAAATCATTACCAGTGTATTTATATTATATATACAATAGACCTATTTTGTCAGTAATGTTTGTACCAATTCTTGACCACTGACAATCCCTTTCTTTCTGATTTTAATGCTTTCATATAGTAAAATCATTACCAGTGCATTTATATTATATATACAATAGACCTATTTTGTCAGTAATGTTTGTACTAATTCCTGACCACTGACAATCCTTTTCTTTCTGATTTTAATTTTAATAGTAAAATCATTACCAGTGCATTTATATTATATATACATAGTAAAAATGTTTGTACTAATTCCTGACCACTACAATCCCTTTCTTTCTGATTGTAGTAAAATCATTTATATATTATATATACAATAGACCTATTCAGTCAATAATGTTTGTACTAATTCCTGACCACTGACAATCCCTTTCTTTCTGATTTTAATGCTTTCATATAGTAAAATCATTACCAGTGTATTTATATTATATATACAATAGACCTATTTTGTCAGTAATGTTTGTACTAATTCCTGACCACTGACAATCCTTTTCTTTCTGATTTTAATGCTTTCATATAGTAAAATCATTACCAGTGCATTTATATTATATATACAAACCTATTTCGTCAATAATGTTTGTACTAATTCCTGACCACTGACAATCCCTTTCTTTCTGATTGTAATGCTTTCATATAGTAAAATCATTACCAGTGTATTTATATTATATATACAATAGACCTATTTTGTCAATAATGTTTGTACTAATTCCTGACCACTGACAATCCTTTTCTTTCTGATTTTAATGCTTTTATATAGTAAAATTACCAGTGCATTTATATTATATATACAATAGACCTATTTTGTCAGACCACTGCATTTATTTTAATTATATATAAAAATATTACCAGTATTTTGTCATATAATGTTTTTGTCAGTAATGTTTGTACTAATTCCTGACCACTGACAATCCTTTTCTTTCTGATTTTAATGCTTTCATATAGTAAAATCATTACCAGTGCATTTATATTATATATACAATAGACCTATTTTGTCAGTAATGTTTGTACTAATTCCTGACCACTGACAATCCTTTTCTTTCTGATTTTAATGTAAAATTTACCATATATTAAAATCATTACCAATTTTGTGACAATTTTTATTTCTGATTTTAATATATAGTAAAATCATATTTTGTCAGTAATTCTTTTGTATTGCTTGCGTTAATTCTTGACCACTGATTTTAATCACTTTTCTTTCTGATTTTTATAGTTGAAATGGCTTTAACCATATGTTCTATGCTAAAATCATTATTTATAGGAGTCTTTTCTGGCTTGTTGCTTTACAGACAACTCTGATTTTCAAAAATGTCAATTATTATCTTCTTAATTGTTGTCTTCATAATTCTTGTTCTTTTATTGTCTTTTCTACTAAATAATATATTTTTTATCATATTCTCTAACACCTATTTATAAATTTTTGCATTTAAGTGGCAATAATTGCTTTGGGTGAAATGATTAAAAATATATTATACATAAAATAGACCATTCTGACAATCCCTTTTCTTAATTCTGACCACTTTTAATCCGCTTTTAATATAGTAAAAATCATTACAATGCATTTATATTATGCATACAATACATCTAATCTATCAGTAATGCTTGCATTAATTCCTGACCACTGACAATCCCTTTCTTCCAGACTTTAAGTCTTTCTTATAGTAATATCATAAACAATGCATTTAAATGTTATATACAATGCATGTCTTAATTACTATCGACGAACAGTTTTTCTTCCATATTTTAATGCATCCTTACAATTAAATAATTACCAATGTAATATTATATTAATTATAATTGATTTAATCTGTTAGTGATGCTTGCATTAATTCCTGACCACTGACAATGCCTTTCTTCTGGATTTTAAGTCTTTCTTATAGTAATGTTATATGCTAACAAGCAGTAAGTTCTATGCTAACAATGCATTTAAATGTTATATACAATGCGTATCTTAATTACTATTGACAGTTTTTCTTCCATATTTTAATGCACCCTTATAATAAAATAATTACCAATGTAATTTTATATTAATTATAATTGATTTAATCTGTTAGTGATGCTTGCATTAATTCCTGACCACTGACAATCCCTTTCTTCCAGACTTTAAGTCTTTCTTATAGTAATATCATAAGCAATGCATTTAAGTGTTATATACAATGCGTGTCTTAATTACTATTGACAAACACTTTTTCTTCCATATTTTAATGCATCCTTACAATTAAATAATTACCAATGTAATTTTATATTAACTATAATTTCCTCAATCTGTTAGTGATGCTTGCATTAATTCCTGACCACTCACAATCCCTTTCTTTATGTGTGAATATGCATTCCTATTGTAAAAACCTATAATGCTTGCATTAATTCCTGACCTTTGACATTCTCTTTCTTCATGCTTGTCATTACATTTCTTGATTAAATCATTTATGTTATGCATATATATCTTTATCACTATTATCTATGTTATACTGTGTTGCAAATTAGATCTCTTTCTGATTCAAATTACATGTTGGCTGGATGTGAATGCTAAGAAATGAAAACCAAAGATAAAAATGTGGTCTTCTGCGCAGATGCCCCAAGCATCACAGCCAACCTACAAAACAAATCCTTGCCAAAATTTAAAATACAATATAAAAGAAGCTAGTCACAAACTTTCATACCAAAGAAAATAATGAGCTCAGGAGCCATTGGATTTGTTTTTAAGAAAGCCGCTCAATGACTAACACAGTAGTAGCCAGCAGGCCAGATGTCATTCTGCCCAACAGGCTCTTGAGGTCACCACCATAATTTTAGTCAACTGATCTGATACATATATCTGCTAGAGACCCACACTCCCCCAAACAACCTCACTATCCTTATATATAGCCATTCTGCTCACATAATCTGTATCTGTAAGTCAGATTCACAACTTCACTAATCAACTCCAGGCCTCTTTCACCATGGTAATTTTGGTTAACCAACCCAATAAAACCTTGAACACCAAGCCTTACCAAAAACTCTCTTACATCAAATCGATTCCCTTATCAATGGCAACTGAAGAAACTTATATCAAAAGTTGTTCTTTTTCATTTGTTCTCCAATTCTCTGCTGACATC